ACACGTATATATACAAGTATATGCAAGCATATGTATGTGCGTATATACAAGAGAGAGAGTATGCAATTTCTATATCTTTCACTATAAATTCCATGCATTTCTGCGATGCGCCTCACATATGTATGACGAGAACGCTTGTAAAAAATTGTAATTAATCTTCACTAAATTTTCTTGCATTATTTCACATACTATAAATCACGTATAAATATATAATTAATGAGATATATATATATATAATTTTAATACATTATTTTATATATATTTTTAATTGTCATATATATCTCTCTCTAATATATAACATGTAACATCTCTTCGCGGAAAAATTAAAACAACTGTGTAGAACTTCATCTATTCAACTTTCATAAATGAATGATTAAAATCATGTGAAATATACAGACATATAATCAATTAATTATCTTTATCTTTCTTTCAATTTTTATATCCTATTCTACTTATAAAAAACCAACAAGTACTTAATTGCTCGCATACGTAAATTGTTTTAAGAAATCTTAATTTTATCAATTCAAACAAAAATCTTATCGTCCGTTTTAGTGAATCGCAGAAAACAAATATTTTCGATTCTAAGAATTTATTGTAGGTACCTCAAGCTTATCGAGGAAAATATTCTCTTCATTTCTCGGTTCTCTATTCATACCGAAAGTTAAAGTCAACGAAAACCAATCCTTCAAACTTTCATTCTTTCCTCTCTTTCATTGTTTTCTTATTCGATACAGATTTTCTATCTTGACAATTGTTCAATCTTAATATTTCCTGTGATTTCTTTCATTTTTCATTACTTTTCTATTATCTGATTAATTTAACTCACATTATATTAACTATATAAAATAAATATTTGCCATTATCAATTGATTACTATTGAAGTTGTTAATTTTGAAAATTTCCTTAGATTTTACATTCGTCTCAACATCTCAAAGCATCAATGTAAAACGCTTTACATTGATGTTTTGAGATGTTGAGACGAATATAAAATTTATAGAAATTTTTAAATGTTCTTGACTTTAAAGTTATAATAATGTCATTTAAACGAAAAAAAATAATTTCGAGCAATATCAATAAAATTATTAACTCCCTTTTTGAATACTCTATATGCAATTATTTGTAGAAAAAAATCTTTGTACTAATTTCTTTAAACTGACTCTTCATTATCCTACGTATTTCTTTATTTCTTGTACCTCAAATAATTTTACATCAGTACAATAAATTTTCTATTTCTTCGGCAATACTCAAAACTAATATTTCAAACTTTAATATTCCCTATAATTTTTAAATCGACACTCCGTTCTCCTATGAATTTCTTTATTTCTTGTAAATAATTTTACATCAGTACAAAAAATTTGTCATTTCCTCAGCAACGCTCGAAACTAATATTTCATTAATATTTCCTAATTTTTAAATCGACACTCCGTTCTCCTACCAATTTCTTTATTTCTTGTAGCCAAAATAATTTTATATCAGTACGACAAATGTTCTATTTCCTTGGCAATGCTCAAAACTAACATTTCATTAATACTTTCTAATCTTTAAATCGACTTCTCCTGTGAATTTCTTTATTTCTTGTAGCCAAAATAATTTTATATCAGTACGACAAATGTTCTATTTCCTTGGCAATGCTCAAAACTAACATTTCATTAATACTTTCTAATCTTTAAATCGACTTCTCCTGTGAATTTCTTTATTTCTTGTAGCCAAAATAATTTTACATCAGCACGAAAAATTTGTCATTTTCTCAGCAACGTTCGAAACTAATATTTCATTAATATTTCCTAATTTTTAAATAGACACTCCATTCTCCTACGAATTTCTTTATTTCTTGTAGCCAAAATAATTTTACATAAGTACGACAAATTTTTCATTTCCTCAGCAACGCTCGAAACTAATATTTCATTAATATTTCCTAATTTTTAAATCGACATTCCATTCTATGAATTTCTTTATTTCTTGTAGCCAAAATAATTTTATATCAGTACGACAAATGTTCTATTTCCTTGGCAATGCTCAAAACTAACATTTCATTAATACTTTCTAATCTTTAAATCGACTTCTCCTGTGAATTTCTTTATTTCTTGTAGCCAAAATAATTTTATATCAGTACGACAAATGTTCTATTTCCTTGGCAATGCTCAAAACTAACATTTCATTAATACTTTCTAATCTTTAAATCGACTTCTCCTGTGAATTTCTTTATTTCTTGTAGCCAAAATAATTTTACATCAGCACGAAAAATTTGTCATTTCCTCGACAACGTTCGAAACTAATATTTCATTAATATTTCCTAATTTTTAAATTGACACTCCATTTTCCTACGAATTTCTTTATTTCTTGTAGCCAAAATAATTTTACATAAGTACGACAAATTTTTCATTTCCTCAGCAACGCTCGAAACTAATATTTCATTAATATTTCCTAATTTTTAAATCGACACTCCGTTCTCCTATGAATTTCTTTATTTCTTGTAACCAAAATAATTTTATATCAGTACGACAAATGTTCTATTTCCTTGGCAATGCTCGAAACTAACATTTCATTAATACTTTCTAATCTTTAAATCGACTTCTCCTGTGAATTTCTTTATTTCTTGTAGCCAAAATAATTTTACATCAGCACGAAAAATTTGTCATTTCCTCGACAACGTTCGAAACTAATATTTCATTAATATTTCCTAATTTTTAAATCGACACTCCATTCTCCTATAAATTCCTTTATTTCTTGTAACCAAAATAATTCCTCGGCAGCGCTCGAAACTAACATTTCATTAACATTTCCTAATCTTTAAATCGACTACTCCTGTGAATTTCTTTATTTCTTGTAACCAAAATAATTTGACATAAGTACAACAAATTTATTGTCATTTCCTCGGCAACGCTCGAAACAAATATTCCATTAATATTTCACGGCATTAAAATAAACAAAAAATTCTTAAGATCGTCCAACGCTCCGGTAAGCAGCAACCGGAACTCACTCACCTTTATCTTCCGTTGCGATTCGTCACGGGCATATCGTCAACTTCCGTCACGACTAGCAGTCCGCCACTCTCTCGATCCGATCTTTTCTCGACGATTATGCACCCCAAGAAGAGGGTAATATCGCACCCTCTCCCTCCCACTCGAATGATGCGCGATTGATGATGTTGCACCTGTGCTTATTCGTTCATCGCGACCCTCGCTCTTTCTCTCTCTCGCTCTCGCTTTCTCTTTCACCTTCTCTTAATTTCACTCGCTCATTATCGCGCGTTACGTTAAAACCGAGTCGGCTTTCTCTCTGATCGAATGGACCGTCCTATCAAATGTACATATCTGTTGCCATCTTAGATTTTGCGTCCCGCAGGATGTCCAGACGTGAACGGTTCTCGGGACCGACCGGCACCGACTGAACTCCTGCGAAACGGCAACCCGGAGGACGACCATCGTGCTCCTGCGCCCGCGAGCGACCTGGACCAACGATGCGGCATCGGGCGTCCTCTGGCATTGGTGCTATCGAAACCAGGATAACGCAGACGGACCGATAACGCAGAATTCTCGTGCCGATATAAAATTCAATTCTAATATATTAAATAATTCTTGCTGATATTTAATGAATCGCCCTTCATTTACATCACAATACTGACTGTCATTTTAATAAATGATTTAATTCATTTCAATTAACCGACACTGAATTGATTTTGTAAATATTGATAGGTATCATATTCATAAAATTCTTGTTAAGATATGGTGCTACCATTGTTATTATTAATCATCTTAATTCAATAATCCTATTGCTTTTTATATTTATCAAGAAATGTAATTATTTAAGAAGAAAACTTAGAATTTTGTAACATTTATAAAAAAAAAAGATTAAATTATATCTACATCAATAATATAAATTAAACATATAAATCAATAATAAAATTAAATTTTTATTAGAAATTTTAGAATTTATATTTCCTCAAAAAAAACTGCTTGCTCGAAAGACTTCTATTTTACTAGCTACTGATACAAACGTAAAAGCTTATCGAGTAAGCAAAAGTAAATATTAAAAACAAGTGTGTGCTTTTAAGCTAATAAGTGGCATCAGTTGATAACTTGGATAAATTTAATTAAATTAAATAATAGAATAGTTTAGTAAAAATACTGATAAGAGTTAAAGTTTGAGAAACATATATCAACAGCAAATAAATGAAGAAAATATTGTACAAATAAATTTTGTACATTACTAATTTATCGACAACACATAACGATAAGATATCTAATTAAAAGTAAATTCATAATTAGATTGAGTAAATTCATATTTCGGTTGAGCTGTTATTGTAACATTATCATAACATTAACTAATATATGATATTATAATATGTATAAATTGAATATATATAAAGTTACAGTTATTAAAATTTAAAAAAAATAATTTTGAAAAATGTAATTTATAAAGAATTTGAGAAAATCAATGTTAATATTTTATAATGAGTCACACAATTATAATTTAATATAATTATTATTTTTAATTTTATTATATTTAATTATTTTATTTTATATTAATTTTATATTAATTTAATTTCATAAATTTAATTTAAATTTAATGCAATAGCTATATTTGTTCCTAAACATTTATCTTGTCTTTACGTAGAAATTTATCGTGTATGTGAAGCTAGCATCTCATTTCGTAGAAACTTATAAATGATTAAGAGCTCTAGCTCTATCTTCAATAGTTTCAGAGTTCTTGATAGTTTAAACAAATAGTTTTAGCCATTAAAACAACGAAAATGCTTGAAGACAAATTGAGACGTCAAATTCACGCAACGTCTCACTTTGTCTTAAAACACATTCCTTGCCTTAATGGCCAAAACTATTTGCTTAAACTATTAAGAACTATTGAAAATAAATAAGCCAGAATTATTTAATTATTTTTTTTCTTAATTTGAATTTCCACGAAATAAAACGCTAGTTTCACACACCCCTATTCCCTCTATAGAAATGTTTTATAAAATAAACATTTTCTTCTTCACTCACCAATATGTGCATAGTAGCAGAGTTGTAATACGCAGCACATTGATCTGAAAATAAAATATGCAAATTAGGTATATACCATACATGTATACGTGTTGAGTGTATATATATATATATATATTATATTATATTATATTAGAAAAATGTTTTTATTTTGCATACCTCACAGTTGCCTTGCTGTCGCTCGATGCCTCCCCGGGCCTCCTCCTCCTCTCTTGGTAGCACTCACGACACTCGCGAAAACATGAATAATTACGATCGCCCGACACTTTACACGGCACTCCCGACGCGCGGAACTTTATACGGCACTCCCGACACGACGCGTGAATCGCACTATGTATCGCAATGTTATATCTGTAACAAATAAAATACACACATATATTAGAATAATTCAAGAACCATAGAACTATTAAAAATAAAGCCAGAACTCTTAATTATTTATAAATTTCTACGAAATCAGACGCCAATTTCATACATAAAATTTATCTTGTTTTTGTTTATATTTTAATTAAGAAAATAAAATGTGTAGATGAAACTTTTATTTTCTTAATTAAAATATAAACAAAAACAAGATAAATTTATATGTATGAAATTGGCGTCTGATTTCGTAGAAATTTATAAATAATTAAGAGTTCTGGCTTTATTTTTAATAGTTCTATGGTTCTTGAATTATTCTAATACATATAATTATTCTATAACAATTCTTCTATATACATATAATTATTCTATAACAATCAATTTAAAAAAAGTGTGATAAACTCGTCTCTTGAATGTGCATACAATTAAAATGCATTAAATATTCAAACCTGCAATGCACTAATAATAGTTCAAATCTAAAGAATTGATAAAAATATTCCTGAATTGTTTTCTTACATATCTTTTATAAAATTGCATTATAAAATTGTTTGATCAGTTTTTACATTGTTATATTATGTATCTTAAATACAGTTTTATACTATGCATATCTCAAATACAGTGAAAGAAGATATAAAATAGGCAATAATTAAATCTTCAAAGTTCAAACTCGAAACAATATTTGAATCAACGAAATCTTTAATCATCATTTGTAATGGAAATATTTGCAAAGTAATAATCGCGACAAAATATTCATTAATTCTCGATATCGAGCTCACTTTCGTCCTTTTGCCGGCAAAGATCGCAAGATAAGGAAACAGTCTTCCAACGAACAATGATTCATAATTCATGATCCGTCTATCTACAGAGGCTTCGGGTTTTATTAATATATACCTACACATTGATACTTTCGCGTAGAGAGAGCTAACCCTTTTTCTCAAATATTTAGACATGTCGATGCTACAAGACAGATGTTTGCGCATAATTCTACTCAACGTGTATTTAGATATCCGGAAATGTTTGCGTGCCCCCGAGAAATGTTTGCACTATCCTGCAATATTTCCCTCCTCTTTCTTCGCCAATAAATACTTTATACTTTGTGTGACTTCACCTCGGTGCTTTCTCTCGATGATTTAACAGCGATGATGGAGCAGGAACTGACTTGCGATGCCACTTAAAGGCGCCAGAAACTCGCCGAGCCATTTTATTTCCGATGATTATTTCCGGAAGTCGCTTCTTGTCGATGATGCTCCGAATTGTTGCACTTTGTCGCAACAATCCAATATCATTTCCTCGGCATTCGGATCGCGATTTCACTCGTATATTGCCGCATTTGCGGTCATAATTCACTGAAATAATTAACAATTATTACAATCAGATATATATTTTTGACATATATTTATATGCGCTGAATTCGGCTCGAAATTCGAGCACTGACACTTGCAACAATTTTATATATATATATATATATATATATATATATATATAAATAATTATTAATAAATAATTCGAATTATATATATTCGAATTATACATATATATATATATGTATACCTGACACTCGGACGGATTGATCGACCATCGCGATTTTTCAGACACTCCCGGCTACTTTGTTTGCACGCGAGACATTTTTTGGCGAGCGCGCTTTATTTCCCGCCATTACGAGACTCGGCAAAAAACGCGGGAGTTGTATTCCGATGACGTGACGTCACGATTCCCGAGCAACTTCACGCGCTTCGATGCTCCTCGCGTCCGACGCTTTTCTTCTTACGCGAATGTCGCGCGAATATTCGCTCGGGCGAGCGAACAATTGATTATGATCGGAGCCCGATACGTATAATTCGACACTTGATATTGTCCGATGTCGGCTGTGTGATTTATATTCGCACGAAAGATCGACAAAACGCGGGACGCGATGAGACACCGACTCGCCAAATTCGTACAAGTACGTACATAGAATGAATTACTGACTATGAAAGGCGACTCGCTTATTGCATAAACTTTGCTCCGATTTCTAATAATGGCGACAAAAAATTACTAAACAAATATGGAGAAATTTTTTAAACATGGCGGACCAATCACAAATCTCTCTCTCAATAATTGTTTTAACATTGCGTTATTTAACTGACACATTTTTAATAAAAAAATTTCTTTAATAAAAAATGAATTATTTATTTAATAAACTATATGCAATGCGAAAGATAATCAGACAATTTTTCCGGTGTTTACCGGTGATGATTATAGGCTATGTGTGATCTACATATGTCAATATTTAGTCTAATAAAGAAAATATAGTACGTGTAACACTTTGAATAGGAAGAGTTGTAGAAAACGTCAAATACGTAAATAATGTCGCACTTATCACATTTTCATTGAGGTATAATTTATGTGCGACCTTAACCTCGTAATGTGTCTCGTATCTGTCAAAACACAGCTCCTCTACATATAAACATCGGAATTATATTACTATTATACATTTAGATTTAGTCAACAGTTAATTATTTACTTTAGTATCGTACTGGATTATTCTCATCGTATCATTATCAAAGTCATTCTCATCCTCTTCGATCCTCACGTCTCGCTTGATTTTAACCTGTCACAACGAATCACTCCACGTTAAATACAAAAATACAAATACACATATATATACTCACAGAGCAGAATTTTTTTATCATACTACATATATATTATTTATAAATTTTTTTACAAAATACAAAACGTTGAGATAAGAGATGTTGAAGAAAATTCTATAGAATCAGAGTATGTTATAAAATATATCGATAACATGTAATTGACTAGGGAGAAAAAATTACTTTGTCCTTATTGGTCGAAAAAAATCCTTCATTATAGCGTCAAACAAAGAACACATCAAAAAAGACGGCGCATTTCTCCTTATATTAAGGTATTTTTTCATACGCAGCATGCTGCAGCAGCAAATCAATCACGTGATCAAACATTATTAGAGCATATTTCTTTGTTCTCTTATTATGTCAAAGTTAAAATTATGATTTTTGCTTTTATATTCTCATATCCAAAACATATGCACATATATACAACGCACACACACATACGTGTACGAATAGTATTTCTAATTACAAATTTTTATTAGACTTCTAATCAAGGTTTAGAGGATAACAGTGCTTTCCCAGCAAACACAAAGTAATAATTACATATAATATCAATGTTATAATTTTCCTTACAATAATATAACCGTAATATAATATATGGCTTGTACGTAACAGTTATATTATTGAGTGGGAAATTATAACATTCATATGTTATGTAATTGTTACTTTGTGTTTGCTGGGTTCTTTAATCTCAGAGAATGTACATTTTTATTCGTACAAAGTGCATATATGTTTTATATAAAATGATAAAGTTGACAGTTCGTCTGCAATTCGAGAATTGTCATATCGAGATGAAAATAGATAAGAAAAACTGTTATTTCTCATTTTGTGACATGCATGTATTGCAATCGTAGAGAAGCATTTTTAATTCTATCAAATTATATATAAGAAAAAGATATACTAGAAGTACGAAAATATATACGACTTGTCAATAAAACAGACAGTCGCGAAGAATCGCCTTAATCTATTTTATTCTTAAAATCTATTATTTAATTAATATAATAATAATAATAATAATTAGAATCAACTAGTTGCGTATTCTACTTTGCTGCCTTTGCTGTTCGTTCAATTGAACTTTATCAATAGCAATATAGACAGTATGCTGCACATGAAATGGTACCTTAAAGGTATCATTTCATGTGCAGCATGCTGCCGCAGCAGTTTGTTGCTATTGGCTATTGGTGAAGTTCAATTGAACGAACAGCAAAGGCAGCAAAGTAAAAAAACACACAATTAGTTGATTCTAATTATTATTATTATTATATTAGTTAAATAATTAAATTTTAAGAATAAAATACATTATTATAAAATATAAAAGCAAACATCGTAATTTTAATTTTGAAATAATAAGAGAACAAAGAAATATACTCTAATAAATTTTGATCACGTGACTGATTTACTGTTGCAGCATGCTGCGTATGAAAAGGCACCTTAAAGGTATTATTTCATGTGCAGCATGCTGCCGCAGCAGTTTGTTGCTATTGGTTATTGATGAAGTTCAATTGAACGAACAGCAAAGACAGCAAAGCAAAAGAACACACAATTAGTTGATTCTAATTATTATTATTATTATATTAGTTAAATAATGAATTTTAAGAATAAAATACATTATTATAAGAATATAAAAGCAAACATCGTAATTTTAACCTTGAAATAAGAAGAGAACAAAGAAATATATGCTCTAATAAATTTTAATCAAGTGACTGATTTGCTGCTGCGTATGAAAAGGCGCCTTTATGTTAGTAATCCTGCGTCCAATAGGAGCGCGCGAATCTGCATGACACATGACACTACATAAGTACATACTTTATGGTACATCGAAGTCGACGATTACCGCCAATTTGCGTCGCCGGACAGGACTAGGTAAGCGTTCGTTCTTCACTGTTCGCGTTACGTTACGGAATGACGCGGTAAGCTCGTCCGACAAATACGCATCGCCTCTCGCGCGTCTTACAAAACATCTCGCGGATGTAAACAAACACCGGGAGCGTCTAATCGCGCGTCGGGCGATAGGCGGTTCAGTCGTTCAAGTGTCGCGTTCATTGTCAGCCGTGTCGTCGCTCATATCTCGTCGTCGGCGTCTCTTTCGCGTTTTATTTCCTTCTTAAAAGTCAAAACAAAATACAAATTAATATAATATATGTTTTATATACATGTATGTATATATATATATATATATACAAATATTTATATATATACATTATATATGTATATATATTTTTTTACATATATATATATGTGTGTATATTTGCTATCGAAATATATATTGATATCGATCCGATATATCGATTGCGATTCTCGAACGGTATCGAGTCGCGGTCGCCATGACAGATTTTTATTGGCAAGAAGCGGAAACGAGTGTCGAAGTGGAGCTCCGGGTTTTTCGTATTTTTTGCATATTAAAATCGTACATTCGCGTAAATCTATATCGAAAATACCGAATTATGTATCGCGCGAGTACGAGTGATTCGTTGTTTCCTCGCGTCGCGTCGTATAATCGTGTAAGTCAACGGGATACGATAGATTTTTGGCGGGATCGATCGATGGCGCGAGTAGAAGTAAAGTGCTCCGTGTATTTTTTGCGTTAAAATCGTATCAATTTCAAATCTATAACCGGGAATGCCGAATTATGTATCGCGCGAGTGTGAACGGTTCGTTGTCTTTTCGCTTTGTATAGTATAAAATCGTCGGGAGTGCCGAATGAATGATGGACGTTGTTTATTGTGTTTGTAAACATTGGACTCTTGGACTCCCTGTATTATGTGTCACGGCGTCTCGCAGATGCAGCCTCAGCGATAATTTTGACTACAGTAGCTGCTTGGGTAAATATGCACGATTATTTTTCTAATTATGACACTTGAATTGAATTTTATAATATATATTACATGTATATATTAATTTTATTTCATAAAATTGTGTTGTAATTATGCATTTTGATTATCTCCTTTATTTGTAATTAATTGAGTATTTTTTTGCAGGTGTATAAAAAATTTATATGGAGGTATAGAAAATGTAAAAGAAGTTTTGATAACTTCAAGCAAAAATGATGATGAATATATAAAATATGCGTAAAAGAACTAACCCAGTAAGCAAGAAATATATAAACAAGAAAAATGTTGACACATTGTAATATTGTAATATTACTTTTATTTCAACATTATCTCCAGATGTGAAAAGTTTATTTACTACTATGGATTTATATATGATGTTAAAACCTAAATATGTGTAAATATTATGCGTTGTATATTATTATATTTTATTGATATAATTTCTTGCTTATTGATAATTAACATTTTGGTTTGTATTTATAAAAATTATTGATTATATAATAAAAAATTAATAAATAATTTGTTTTTGTTGCAGAGAAAGGAAAAAGAACAGCATCGGTGAGTGAATTGTTGAAGCAACAATGGATAAGTGAACTTTTTATATTATACTTGCGCAACTATTTATTTGCAATAACATAGAATTATTTTACGATGGTTAGTTTTAAATATTTATATAAGAATTATTACATGCATAGACAATCATATTACATTACATAACATATACTAAATTCTTTGATATTATAAAATTAAATTCAATATTTACATTGAAAGATTTGCATGAACAAAATTTATGTACATATAATTTTGAAAATAGAAGATAAAATAAAGAAGGGTATTTATATAAGATATTTATATATTTATATAAGAATTGCTACATGTTTAATAAAGATATGTATGGAATATATATATATTACTAAATTTTTAGAAAAGAATTTTTGACAAAATTGCAAATAAAGGAAGGAATATTTATTATAGGAAAAGAATTAATAATATAATCTAGTCAGAACGCAAATTTATATACTGTATATATAATGGAAAATTTTTAAAGATATCTATTAAAATTTTCTAAAAAGATATTCATTTATTTTTTACATCCATCGTGAAATATTGCAAGTTTTAATAAAAATAAAATGCAAAGTTGATATTTAAACAGTACTTGTTCGATAAATTAATATAAAATTATTGCAAATCAATAGAAAGTTAATCGCGCAAGTTCTCTGTATATTCGGCATCTTATAGTGAAATATTTTGAGAAATGTTGCAATTTTTCGCGCAAACCGGGCGTTTTACATTGCTGGTTTTGCCAGGAGGCAGCCACCATTTCCGATGGTTGAGCCTTGCCAAAGCTCAGCAGTCAACTACGATGATATATAGATATATGCATACGAGATGATATCGCGAGCGGAATATTTCGAAGTTTTATTTGATTCTCGCAACGCGGAAACACGAATACGTCACTCGAAAATATAACAAAG